AATTATGATGACTGTTCAGATAGATTCAAATAATAAGTGTTCAGGTAAGCGTGGACAGAGAGATTGCACTTATGATGACTGTTCAGATAGATTCAAATTGTGAGTGTTCAGGTAAGCGTAGACAGAGAGATTGCAATTATGATGACTGTTCAGATAGATTCAAATCATAAGTGTTCAGGTAAGCGTGGACAGAGAGATTGCAATTATGATGACTGTTCAGATAGATTCAAATAATAAGTGTTCAGGTAAGCGTGGACAGAGAGATTGCAATTATGATGACTGTTCAGATAGATTCAAATCATAAGTGTTCAGGTAAGCGTGGACAGAGAGATTGCAATTATGATGACTGTTCAGATATTCATGGATGAGCAGATGGCCGATAACTTGCATTATTTATGAAGAGAACACCGCCGGTAAATCTCCGCCGTAACACTATTACCAAAGCAGCGCAAATGAGTAAATTTTGAAGTTCCATCAAAAATGCATGATTAGTTGTCATCTTGTATTCAACTTGAAGTTAAGTAGCATAGGCAATTATTACTGTAAGAATTTCTCCCCAATTGAATCATTGTATTTTTTTTCTACATTCTCTGTGCCATCTTTTTCTTTTACGCTCTGTAACACGGATAATAATTGCGTTTATTAAAAAAAAAAAAAAAAAACTATGCTAGAGTGTGCTCTGAAGTTTTGTTTTGGTTATACTTTATTGGGCGTGGACGGAGAGATGCTTTCTCATACGTTCGCTTAATGTAGCACTAATCGTTTAAATTTAATCTGAATGTTCTTTTACTCACTATAAATACTTTTTTAGAGAAAAATGTCAAATATTATGGAGAGTATGGCAATTTAATGGCGTTATCGGTCATAACGAAAACACAGGACTACAAATAAGCCACCGCTAGAGGGCGTGGCAAACGACGACATAATGTAAACATGTTGAAATAGGTACAAGTAATTTCTGGCGAATTTGACTCAATGTATAAATTAACATAATTTTAATTTAGCTTAAGTACCAACAATCTCACTGTGAGAATATAATTTATTATAGCTACATCTTGAAATAGCAAAGTTATCGATTAGCTAAATAAGCTAAAATAAAATGTAAGCTAAAATGACAAGTTTTACAGAATAGAGCACACGGGGATGGTACATAGATTATACATGTTAGGATACATGTCCATGATGATTTATTTCACAACTGGATCAAAGATGGCCGACTGGCAGCCATCTTGTTTTTTGAAAATGTCGTATTTTGGACATGCTTTGTCAGTTTTCATTCAAATTTAGTACATAGATCATACATTTGTAAGGTATGTATGCTATTAATAAAGGATTTTTTAAAAGAGAAATGAATATCAATTTAACTAGGCGATGGGCCTCCTAATAATCTATTCCAACTGACCTAAATTTGAAATCGAACAACTTGTATATCAATGTTTCCAATATTGTGTACGGTAACCACGTCTCACCATGATTACAATTATATTGCACAACACATGTATTTCAAGCCACGCCCAGTATAGAATTTACAGTAAAGAGGGCGTTGTACTCTTAACAATCATACTGCGAGTAGAAACTCCACCTTCGCTAAAATAAGTGGTCTGAGGTAGAAACGAACACAGTGGAACAATCGGTCACTGCACTGCGTTTTCGTCGTTTTGTTGTTTTCCAGCCATCGTGTCAACATACCTATGCAAATTTACTGGGTGCGGTCGACAAGCAACTTATAATCAGGTAGCGTACTTGTTTCGTTTCTATGGACGGCGTTGGCGTGGGTTAAACACGATCCTTGCTTTGTATATACAACTCTTCACAGGGAAACTTCCTTTGAATGAAGAGTGGACGGTCTAAAAGTGAACAATTATTTGTATGGGTGAGACGAATGAATAGAATAAATCAATATTAGGGAAAGGTGTGGGCTTCTTATACGCAACGGTAAACATACGTGAAGGAACAACTACTAGTAAAGAGTGTCAGTTGCCCTAACCATCTCATCTATTGGGAAATCTAAATTAACGAGCAGTGTTGTTGACTTAATTAATTTCTGGCAATTAATTCATTTGGATTACTAGTTAAAGTAGTGAGAAGAGACGCATTTTTTTTCTTGGATTTGTTTAAAATCTGAAGTCCGTTGGAATGTTACTCAAAATGAGTTTGAAACATTAAAAAATAGCACTGCTATGAAGTTTGTTGAACCATGGATGTATAAACAGTTTATACCTCCATGGTTGCACTATGTTGTTTTGGGGAAGCTTAGACGAAGTTCATATATATTTGATGGTGTATTGTGCCTTATGAGACGCACTTGAACTATAGCTTATTTGTAATCAGTCAGTTAATGTTGTTGAACAGTAATGTTTGACAATGGTTATTCCTTGACCCTTATTTGCATAACAATGGATAGTAACATACAGTATCACTGGTAACACGCTCGAGGTTTCCCCCCAATTTGCACATTTTTATAGAAAATTATATATAAAAATCATGTTCGTTCGTTATTTATTCCCCTCCATGAATGGCCTCCATGGTGTTTAATTGCGAGCACTTCAAATGCCTATCCAAGCTACAGTTATAATTAAAACAAAATTAAACCACTGCAATATTATTTCGAATACACAACTATATACACAACTATAAATTAAGACCGCATTTAGGTTCGCTTTAACAACAAGATTATTATTTTTTGCAATAACACCGTGACTGACCAATAAGGTTTATTAGTTGGCTGTAATATTATAACAAATTACTTTCC